CTCATGGACCAGAGCTCCTTGTCGGCTGTGGCCACCCCCAGCTCCTTCAAGGTCAAGCAGTCACTTCAAAGATACCATCCATCTATCTCGTCCTTGGTCTGCCCCTCTTCCTTTTTCCTTCCATTTTTTTCCCAGCATCATTATCTTCTCCACATCTGGGGCTAGTTGAACTTACCCTCTGTTCCTCCCCAGTAGCATTTTGACCATCTTTCCAACCTGGGAGTGTTGGGGTTCAGCCACCTCCGTGTGAAACTGAGCCTCAATCTCTGTGTGAACCTGATTCTCTGAGTGTATTTCCTGATGCAACTGAGCAAGCCACTGAACATGTATCTTTCCCTGATAGTGTTGAAACCCTTGATGCTGAAGTCAGTGGCGGGGAAAGTGAAACTGAACAGCCTGATGAGAATGTTTTGGAATCAGGCCGTGATAGCTCTCCAGAGGGAATCACACCTGGGTTTTTTAATGAGGACCGAAGGGAACAGATTTGGAAAAACAGGAGTGAATCACGGTTTCTACGAAGGTCAAATGGATTACGGGAGAGGGAGGCTTCAAAGTCTGGAGGCGTTTCAAGAAATAGTTTCTTTGGTTTAAGGGGCCTCCCCCCGGTTGTCTCATTAGATCAAGCAACGTTTTAGACTGAGGCAGCACCTTGGCAGTTTTCCTGCGTTCCATGGCCTGCATTCCCAGAGGCTTCTAGTTTTCAAGTATGGTTAGTGATGCTAACAGGTTCCTGGTGTCTGTATTGTTGTTTTTGGAATTTTGCTCAAGTTCAAAGATTTTTCCTGACTGCTGAGTTTCTACTGTGGCTTTTTGACTTTGCATTTACTTTTCTTTTGTAACCATTTTTCATCAATAAAAAAGGATTGTTTTTCTCACAGTCCAGTGTGGTGGATTGAATCTTATGGTCTCGTTTCCTGATCTGGGATGCAACAGGGAGTCCCATCTTCCAATGGTATATTGACATATCTCTGGTTGTACAGACCCATTTAGTTTTCATGGCAAGAATACTGGGGTGGATTGCCATTACCTTCTTCAGGGATCGTATTTGGTCTGATCTCTCTGCCATGACCTTTCTGTCTTTGGTATCCCTTCACAGTTTCACTCATGGCATCATCGAGGTGCTCAAGCTCCAGCACCACGACAAGGCAACGATTCTTTGCAGGAGATTGCAGGTATAACTCAACATAAAGTACTTGTTGGAGTTCAGCCTGTGATTGTGTTTCAGGATCAGGGTGCTTTGGATATAGGGAATGGTGTTAATGAGGTTCAAGATGAGTTTCAAGATAGCAGTGATATTGATGCAGAGAATGACCAGGAGATCCCATGTTTCCCATGATAATGTCCATGAGGGGTGTGGGGATGCACCTGCAGAAATTAATGAGCAAATAGATGACAAGCCAAGAGAGAAAATAGATAATGAGCCAAGAGATAGATGAGAAGAGATCAGTCAAGAGATAGATGAGAAGAGATTGGGGTTGGAGGACATCCAACCCCAAATTGGGAAAGAAGTCGTCCAGGAATACCTGGCCGCTCTTAATGAGTTCAAGTCCCCAGGGCCAGATCAACTACACCCCAGAGTATTGAAGGAACTAGCGGAAGTCATTTCGGAACCATTGGCAACCATCTTTGAGAGTTCTTGGAGAACGGGAGAAGTTCCAGCAGATTGGAGGAGGGCCAATGTGGTCCCAATCTTCAAGAAGGGAAAAAAGGATGACCCAAACAACTACCGTCCGGTCAGCCTCACGTCTATATCGGGCAAGATTCTGGAAAAGATTGTTAAGGAAATGGTCTGCAAACACTTAGAAACAAATGCGGTCATTGCTAATAGTCAACATGGATTTATGAAAAACAAGTCATGCCAGACTCATCTGATCTCTTTTTCGATAGAGTTACAAGCTGGGTAGGTGCGGGAAATGACGTGGATGGAGCATACCTGGATTTCAGTAAGGCCTTCGACAAGGTCCTCCATGACCTTCTGGCAAGGAAACAAGTCCAATGTGGGCTAGGCAAAACTATGGTGAGGTGGATCTGTAATTGGTTAAATGGACGAACCCAGAGGGT